ACACACACACACACCATCTTAATGTTTTGATCTGATGAGTTTACAAGAGAAGGCTGTTTCTATTGACCTGGACTACAATAAATAATAAATAAAATGCAACTGTCAGCAGTTTGAAGTGTATTGATAAAAACCACCTGCAGAGTAAATGCTGATATTCTCCCTTGTGTGTGTTCTGGGTGTCAGCAGTGGATAGTAAATGATCACTTGGTATTTGTTAAAAACAGGGATAATGTTTACTTTTTACAACATATGTCTACTAAAATTCACAGTGCTTAAACACATTGGTATTTGTCTTAGTTATGTACTTGTAGTTATTGACAGACTTTGACCATATCACATAGTTAGCTATCATCATCATCGGTTGAAGATTTCAGAAATAACATCAAGCTACAAAAAATGGCGGGTATATATACTGTGTCGATATTTAGCAATTAGGTTTTTGGTTAAAACTTGTATCTCTTATATGATACAAGTCAATGTTTTTATAATTTTGATTTACTGTGCCTGGTATTTTTGAATCATCATTAACATCAACATCTTACAGCTCTATGGATCATCAAGTCCAGCCCTGTCAAGGAGGCACCGTGTGGAATCAAACTCCCAACCTCTGGCTCCAGAGCCAGAGACCTAAACCACTGAGCTATCCAGCAGTTCATCAGTCACAACTACTATATCCTATCATATATTTGCCCTGTCTGAACGCTATTACTTACCCTAACTGAGAGACAGCTAACCTCCTTTATGTATCTGTCTGGCTGATTATTCAGAATGCTTCCCTGTGCAAATATCACATTCTAGTCCTTGCATAAAAAGACATATGCACACACATACTGTGTTGTACAGTTCCATATGCCAACAATTTTGGTGGCTATTCCAAGGATAAGGAACTCCTTTCCAATGGAGGTTAAGCTGCCCCCTTCCATGCTGTCCTTTTACTCACAGGCAAAGACCTTTGGCAATTGATCGACTGAGAGGGAAAAAAGCAAATTCTTGAGAATGGCTGCTGCAGACCCTCTTGACTGTTACTATTGGTGTCTTCAACATTCATTTGTTTTGACGTTTGCCAT